GGGTGGAGGTGCCGCCGGGGCCGGCGACGGCGACAGCGGGGTGCTTCGCCGCCAGTTGCCAGCATCGGTCCCGCACCGCTGCGATGCAGCCGGAGGACGATTCAGGAGGAGGATAAACATCTCTTCAAAGAGTTCCTGCGTGCAGTGCTGCAGCCTAACTAGCTGGAATCACTCTCTCCCATCAGCTAAGCGACAGTTACGCAGCGGAGCGCTTCTCAGGGTTGCAGCAGCACGCCAGCGCGTGGGTTTTGTGCAGTCGCAAACCTCACAACATCGCAAAATAAACAACGTGGCACCTTTGAGCAGGCAGTATCAGTAGCATTGACAACGTGTAGCGTTCTCCAAGAACCGGGCCACCCTTTCACTCGCTAGGCTGTTAAGATTCAAGAACTGGATGTTTTGTCCGTTTTTAACGTGACGAAAATTAATTCCCGAGGAGGCGGAATAGCTTGCTCCAGGCCGCGCGGTACGGCGTGGGCTAGCCCTGAGCTCGGGCTGTTTTGTCTCGCTCTCGGCTCGGCTGCGGAGAAATGTGACAAATACCGGTATTTATTCTCCGACCCTGACGCAGAGAGCGGTCAGAACCGCACTGCATCGCTGGGAAACTGGCACCAGCCTCTGAACGATGTCATTGCCAATTCTGGTAAAAAGCATAGAGGCAGGCTGGGGTGGCGCTCGCTTGTTAATCTGTTAACTCTTACAATAGGTAAAATAGCTTAAACAGTTTCTGAATTGCTTTTTTTACCCCTCAATCTGTAATCAGGAATTTGAAGGAGAGTAAGTATTACTCTCTTGTATTCTGTAATACAAATTTGTGCAATGTTATAAATATTATAAAAGAAATGGCAAAGTTCACAGTCATGCGTTGTAAAAGGATAAACATTTACATTTAAATAAAACAGATCTGAACAGTGTAACACGGCAAACGTGAGGCACACAAAAATAGCAAAGATAATCTTACTCACTTCCTGCAGTAGCACTTAACAGTCAACGCTGTTATTTTTGACCAGACTGAAAGGGGGTTTAGGTTACAATACCTGAACGAGTCTCAGAGACCTCCCTCCCACGCTCTGTTTGGAGATGAGGGAGGTGGGCTTTGCTCACAGAGCCCCCTCGCCATGCCAGGACCCCATGGATCCTACCGCTCCCTCAGCATGGCCTCAGACAGGTGGCTAGAAATCCTCTCTCATCCTGGCTTCAATGAGAGAAAAGCAGTAAAAACAACTATAGTGGTTTGGTGGGGGGGGGGGGACATTAAAATCAAGACCAAAGCAGAGTATTTCCAAAGTTCAGCAGCTGAGCCACTTGCAGACTGTGAAACTGTCTGCATGGCAAATTGAGGTTCTTATTGTGATCTGAGGCTGTCCCAGGCAATCAGCAGTAAAAATCCTGGTCCAGCATGAACCAACTACTGACACCAAGCTCGTCTTACTGTCACCTTTTATCTTAGGTATGTCATGTTACAGCTATGGGGATGTAATGATACATCCTCGACACCTCCAGGCTGCTGCCCCACTGTGACCCTCTTTGTCGTCATCCTGTAAACACCTAACAGCTGGAGAAAGTAGATGCAGATCTCACATATGCACATTTTATCCCTGGAATCCCTTCATAAAAGTCAGCATATTATTTAAAACAACAACAAAACATTCAAAATAGTTTTGCAAATAAAAAGAAACTCCTAAGTGTTACTACCCACTGATCCTTTTTTTTTTTGGGGGGGGGAATATTCTTATTCAGTAAGAGTGTATGAATTCTTAGAAGTCCTACTGAGTACGTGGATGTGATATGTATGTCCTCATAGATGTGACTAAGTGCTTGCCTAGCTTTTGCTGGATTTAAACATCTGCTTACTTCCTTTCCTTGAACCAAACCCATTGAACAGGACTGTTTTTTTCCTACTAGAGAAGGCAACTTTTAAACTGCATTTTCCAGAATTTTCGTTTGACTTTGGTAAGTTGAATCCTCTAGTTTGTGACTATTTAGGCACATGATAAATGTTACCTTTTGAGAAGTCCAATGGAAGTTAGCCTTCAATATATCATAGGATTACCTGTCTCACACATCATTTTCTAGTTAATTGCAGTCAAAAGAGGACTGGGCTAACTAAATCTAAGAGCACTTTATCTCGATGTGAAATAATTGGATGGTACTTTCTGAGAAAAGAAAAATGTAGCTGGCCTCTGCTGTTTTGATTTTTAATAAATATACTTTTAATGCAGTAGCGGTCTGCAATCCCAGTGTACATTACTTTATAAATAAGTCTTTACAACAGTACTCTAATAGTTAGTGTAATAAATGGTACTTTATGCAGTAGGAGCAGCATGTGGCCATAGGAGCAGCTGGCTGCAGGACGCAGGCATTAGCTCTTACAGGAGTACATCACATTCACTGCCAGTGTAAGGAGTGAAACATTTTTCAAAAGGATTAAGAATCAGGATTTCTGGAATTGATTTCTGAAGACCGGTATTGCCTCTGTGTGTGTGTGAGACACCTGGGCCACACCACGGAGTCCCCATGAGCTTTGGATCTCATGCTGTTACTGAATACAGCAGATGTCATGAAGATGATCACTCCGGCTTGGGCCACCAGGACACAACCAGTCGAGGTCCAACCACAGAGCAGAGAACTCAACTGACTGGTTAAGTCTGTTCCAGTTTCTGGCTGACACAATTTAATGGCAAAATGAGGAGCAGCGGGCAAAAAATAATGTGAAACATTTTGTGTATTTCCCCTTTACTTAAACTTTCAAGGCATTTATGGATTGCTCCCTTTAGGTTATCTAGACTGTGGAAATAATGCAGTCACCCACCTAACCTGCCAAAATCCTACACTATCTCCGCTGGAAGCTGAGTAACTACAGGAGTGAGCAGGAAACTGAGTAACTACTCACATTTCTTTAGTGGCACCTGGCAAACTTCTGGGTCCTTAGAAGTGTTCATGTGATCGCTGACTGCAGTGAGCTTGGCCTCGGCAGTGGAAAGACCTCCTATAGAAACTGGAAATTTGGATGGAAATGTGTTATCTTCAGGAGCTGCAGGCTGGGACCACAGCAGGCTGTCAGCCGTAAGACCTGGCGGAAGGAAGGAGCCTGGCTTTCCTTGGAGGTGCCTGAGCCCTGGGAAGGGGTACAACCTGGGCTGGGGAGGGTCTGGCACTGGGAGAAGGAGGCACCTGAGGCCGCTGGGCTGCGTCTGCTGGTGCCCTCGCGGCCGTTTGACCTGCGTGTGGGGCCTGGGGCAGCCATGGGCCAGCGCGAACTGAGCTTAGTGTGGTGCCAAATTCATGTTAGTGTTTTGTCACTGTAGCCTCACCTTATTATAAAGTAGGGTTTTGGTCTGCATACTGTAATTTTTCTGTAACAGCTTACATGTAAGACAGCAGCAGTAAAGGCCCAATACAGCAGAACAGTATTGTAACATCACCATAACATAAAGATAGTGAAGAGCTGTTGGGAAGACTCCAGATAAATGGACATAAATGCATGCAGCACACAGCATCGCTGTCAGGGTCAAATTCAAAGTCTTCCCTTATTACACTTAATTGTAAGTACACTACATTATATTACAGCCAAACCTTGTGATTTTCTGGTGAAGTCAGAAGGTGGGTATCCAATGAAAGAGACTTCAGGGTGCAATCTGCATACCCTGACTTAGATGAGACATCTCAGTGGCGCATCTTGTTTGAACAGGGACACTAGCGGCTTCTGCCACTAGGTTGAAAAAGGAAGTCTGTACAGATACACTTAAAGCTATTACCCAGCCCAGTGGAGAGCACCAGGAAGTACCTCCATAATCACATGCTACTGTTGGACTGTTAGCTGGAGGAGATAATCACAATCCCATCCTGTTCTTTTAAAACAAAACACCTTACACAAGGGCCCCATCTTGTTGAGCACTGGCAAGCAGTTCCCTTCACTTTATCCTGTATTTTCTCATGTTTCTATTTGCTGCTGCAAAACAATTGTCTAAGTGGCAGTATCCAGCCTGGTACAGTCTTGGGCTCAGCCTCTTCCATTTCAGGGAGTGTGCTGTGCTGCAGGAGCTGCTGGTGGTGTCAAGCCGAGTGCCTGACAGTGCTGGGAGCACCCTGCAAGCCACAGCTCCCCTCCTGCTGGTGACAGAGCCCCTTCCACCAGCTAAGTCCCTTGGAGATTGATAAGTGAGAGAACCTGCAGGAACTTGTCCTCATCTTTATTCTTCTCTGAAAGGTTTTTAATTCTAATTCAGACCATTGTTAAGGGAAATTGAAGTTAGAAAAGGAGGAGGATAAAGTGGTTGGGGGGGAGGGGTGACTGCCTAAATCAGCTAGGCTTGAAATTGCAGATATCAAATTTGCCAGTGTGACTAAAAATGACAACTAATTCAGACTACAGCAGACCTACAAGAGTGTTTCTGCATTAGCACAGAGCCTTCTGGGGGAGGAGCTACAAATGCAGCCTGGAGTCTGGAGGGCATGAGCATGTGATAACACAAATGTCTATTAGGGACTGGACTGGCATATTTAAATTGCAATGATGCTCTGAAAACTAGCAAACAAAATCAAAACTAAGCTCTCAGTAAACATAAGATCACATTTGTAAGGGTTATTGTTAGACCTGGGTGCAGGTTGCCACTGGAAGAGTTTTCTTCAGTTGGGGGAAGAAAGCTGCTTTGGCAGAAGTGAACATTTTGGAGGCGCAAGTTAATTCTGTCACAACTTGTAGTGGGATGCAGGCAAGCAAGGCAGGCCAGAGCAGAACAGGGCAGAGCAGGGCAGACCCGGGCAGGCAGGGGAGGCAGAGCAGGGGAGGCAGGGCAGGGCAGCGCAGAGCAGGGCAGACCCGGGCAGGCAGGGGAGGCAGAGCAGGGGAGGCAGGGCAGGGCAGCGCAGAGCAGGGCAGACCCGGGCAGGCAGGGGAGGCAGAGCAGGGGAGGCAGGGCAGGGCAGCGCAGAGCAGGGCAGACCCGGGCAGGCAGGGGAGGCAGAGCAGGGGAGGCAGGGCAGGGCAGCGCAGAGCAGGGCAGACCCGGGCAGGCAGGGGAGGCAGAGCAGGGGAGGCAGGGCAGGGCAGCGCAGAGCAGGGCAGACCCGGGCAGGCAGGGGAGGCAGAGCAGGGGAGGCAGGGCAGGGCAGCGCAGAGCAGGGCAGACCCGGGCAGGCAGGGGAGGCAGAGCAGGGGAGGCAGGGCAGGGCAGCGCAGAGCAGGGCAGACCCGGGCAGGCAGGGGAGGCAGAGCAGGGGAGGCAGGGCAGGGCAGCGCAGAGCAGGGCAGACCCGGGCAGGCAGGGGAGGCAGAGCAGGGGAGGCAGGGCAGGGCAGCGCAGAGCAGGGCAGACCCGGGCAGGCAGGGGAGGCAGAGCAGGGGAGGCAGGGCAGGGCAGCGCAGAGCAGGGCAGACCCGGGCAGGCAGGGGAGGCAGAGCAGGGGAGGCAGGGCAGGGCAGCGCAGAGCAGGGCAGACCCGGGCAGGCAGGGGAGGCAGAGCAGGGGAGGCAGGGCAGGGCAGCGCAGAGCAGGGCAGACCCGGGCAGGCAGGGGAGGCAGAGCAGGGGAGGCAGGGCAGGGCAGCGCAGAGCAGGGCAGACCCGGGCAGGCAGGGGAGGCAGAGCAGGGGAGGCAGGGCAGGGCAGCGCAGAGCAGGGCAGACCCGGGCAGGCAGGGGAGGCAGAGCAGGGGAGGCAGGGCAGGGCAGCGCAGAGCAGGGCAGACCCGGGCAGGCAGGGGAGGCAGAGCAGGGGAGGCAGGGCAGGGCAGCGCAGAGCAGGGCAGACCCGGGCAGGCAGGGGAGGCAGAGCAGGGGAGGCAGGGCAGGGCAGCGCAGAGCAGGGCAGACCCGGGCAGGCAGGGGAGGCAGAGCAGGGGAGGCAGGGCAGGGCAGCGCAGAGCAGGGCAGACCCGGGCAGGCAGGGGAGGCAGAGCAGGGGAGGCAGGGCAGGGCAGCGCAGAGCAGGGCAGACCCGGGCAGGCAGGGGAGGCAGAGCAGGGGAGGCAGGGCAGGGCAGCGCAGAGCAGGGCAGACCCGGGCAGGCAGGGGAGGCAGAGCAGGGGAGGCAGGGCAGGGCAGCGCAGAGCAGGGCAGACCCGGGCAGGCAGGGGAGGCAGAGCAGGGGAGGCAGGGCAGGGCAGCGCAGAGCAGGGCAGACCCGGGCAGGCAGGGGAGGCAGAGCAGGGGAGGCAGGGCAGGGCAGCGCAGAGCAGGGCAGACCCGGGCAGGCAGGGGAGGCAGAGCAGGGGAGGCAGGGCAGGGCAGCGCAGAGCAGGGCAGACCCGGGCAGGCAGGGGAGGCAGAGCAGGGGAGGCAGGGCAGGGCAGCGCAGAGCAGGGCAGACAGGGCAGGGCAGGGGAGGCAGGGCAGGGCAGGCAAGGCAGGCAGGCAAGGCAGGAAGGGAAGTCCCCTGGATCCCAGGCCCCCTGCTCTTTGGCAATGCACTCAGCCGGCTGTCCATTTCCAGCTGTCCCTGCCTGCCTCCCTTGTTCACTTTTTTCAAACAGTTCTGCTAAACCAGAGGTTTCTGAAAGTGCCTTTGTTTTGTGAAAACAAATGTGAATGTCTGCT